CTCATCAGGCCTTGTATCCACAGGCACCTGCCTGATTAAATACCTGTTGAATTGTTTAAATGATTGCTGTTTGATTTATCAGTTGCATACCTCATGTTGCTCAAGCTTGGCTTAAAGCTTTCAAAAACTAGACAATGTGTTCATTCCTTGTTATAAATTTCACAGTTCACTCCTTCATTATCTGAGGTGTTGCATCCCCAACAGACAGCAAATTGCCAAGGTCTTCCAAGAATAAGTTGCTGATCCCCTCCCTCAAATATAAGGAAAGGGGTATGGGTAATAATGTCTCTGATCTGAACAGGCACTTCATCACAAAATGTGTAAAAAGGAGCAACTTCTCTCATTTAAACAATCATCATCACTTGCAGCTTATTTTCCATCAGCAGATTCAACATTTCAGTGTACTTCTCAGACAACAAATTGATTTCTGAACCAGTATTGATCAATGCCATTAATTCTTGTTGATTTATAGTGACTGGTGCATATAACAAACACATTCTATATGCTGTTTTGGATTTTGGTACCATGGGCTTCAATATAAGTTGACTGGAATTGATCTTTAGCTCAGGCTGAACCAGTTCAGAGACTTCAACCTTTGCATGGCTTTTGCTAGTACTGTTATTCCAACCTGATCCAAAGAACACTCAATAAAGCTTCAGCAATACATCTATAAGCTTCTTGACTGACACTTCAACCTTCCCATTGAGAATTTGACCCATTAATTCATTGGCATCTGTTGAATCATGGATCTGAGAGAATAAACAATCTGTTGCAGAATATCTTGGTCTTTGTTTCTCTACAGTCTTGTTCTGAATTTCAGGCTTCTTCTGATTGATTGGTTCAATGTCTTCCATGATATTGTCATCAACACTAGCTTGATTATCCCAGTAGATAATAAATTGTCCAGTACACTGAGTATAGGGTGTTGCAATCTTAGCTTTTTGACTGTTCTTAGCTTCTCCAACAGTTCCAATATTGACTGATGTTCTTTCTTCCAGTGGTTCATATTTCTTATCTGAATCAGATTCTTCATCAGACATTAGATATGCAAGTCATCCTGCTTGGACCTTCACACTGGTTGAATTTGCTGGAGGTGTCTCTTCTTGCTGATTGGTCTTCTTTTTAGGGCTTGTTGACTCTGGAATTGCCCATTCATCCTCTCTTATAGACCATACAATATACATGTTCAGTATTCCAGGTTTAGGAGTGACAACTCAATAGTTTTGACCAGAAGAACCCATGCACAAGTTCCCTTCATCATCAATATGACAGAACCCATTATTTGCATCAAATTGGTATTCATAACACTAAGATTGACAGTGTCCAGGTTTTCCACAGTAAAAGCATGAGAGACATGTCAAAATTCCTCCAGTTCAAGCTCCTCCTCAGCCACTAGAACAATAGCTTGTCATCAGCAAACTATTTCAAGCCACATAAGAATTGACTAATTGCAGTTGGGTGTTCTCTTGTACCATTGCAGAATTAGTAGTTACATTTATTGTATAATTTGGTATGGGTTTCAGAGGTCCTTCTCTCTGCAGCATATAGTACTGATCAGAATTCCCTTGTATCTGATTTGACTGTACTCTCATGACCAATGCCAAATTTGTAAACTTATTGGTCATCTTTTCAATTGCAGCTTCAATATTAGTGCTCTCAGAGCTCTTGGCTTTGGATTTCAATTCAGATTCTTCAGTCTTTACAGAACTAGCTGTTTTCTTCAGAGCCTCAACTGTAGGGGATTTGTTAGCTAATTAATATCACTTATCAAGCTTCTCTATTTTCTTCTGCTTCATTTCATCTTCTTCAAAGATCTTCTTATTCCCTTCATACTGGTCAATCAAATCCATGGTCACTTGAACAACCTTCCTAAAATCAATAGATGACATATTATCTGAAAGATTGAGCTTTGCCTTGTCAATAATCTTATTCTGGAGCTTCTCAGGCAGCCCCTGAAGAAACCAAGACATCTTAGTGAATTCATCAAGTCTTCCATTGGCTTGTACTGTACTGGTGATAGTAGTGTATTCTCAAACATAGACACAAATGTTGCTATCCCAAGCACGCGGTTTCTTTGTAATTGCTTAAAGATAATCCTGACAGTAAATCTTGTAAGTAATGTCCTGATCATGAAATTCATGAATAATCTCTTTAGAGAATACTTCCTAATTACCTTTCTTGTAGTCTTCTAAGGTCTTCATCCATTCTCCAATCCATGTAACACAGTACCTAGCCAACCATTTAATAATGTTCTTAGGATCAATTACCTCATGATCCTTGCACATTTGATAAAACCTTTCAATAAACAAGGTAGCATCTCTGCCATCAAACCAAGGTGCATTTGCTGTGCCAGGGGAAGGCATAGGAATGTGGGAGTGAACCACAATTCTCCTGTCTTCACCTTGTGACATAGTCGCGTATGATCCTGTAGTATCTTCAACCATAGTTGATTCTGATTCTGATTTCTTGATTTCTTGATCTTTGGTCATGTCACACAGTATGTTCTGTTGTTTCTCAATGATTCAATATCTTTTCAAAAAAACCTATTTATCAGGCAAGCTTTAGATAAGAGCCATTCAAATCTAAGCTCCCTAACCTTGTTCCTAAACAAAAACCTGATTAGTACTGTATTTCTAGTCCATAAGATCTTACCTTGAAATAGTGTATTGCTTCATGTGTCTCAGAATTTGTTTTTCTTCCTTGGCAGCCACCAAATCACTGCATCATCATCTTCAGGTCTCAGCTTGGTCACCAAATGAAGTGGGGTACAATGGGATGCCTCATCAAAGTAGGCAAGTTGGTTGAGATGGTGAGAGTGCAAGAAGGATGAAAAATCACAACATAGTAAGGATGGTAATGGCCGAGTAGTAAGAACAGAGAAGCATGCCTTAACAGATGCCTAAGCTCATAAGAAATAATAGTACTAAAGAGCCTGTACTAACACAGGCAACTCTAATGAGGAACAGTGGCAAGCTTCATGAACAAGAGATCTTCATATTCTCTAACTAATAACCAAACTAGCAATAAAGAATGAGTGTGTGGAAAAGTACAAAGGTGCATGAAGGTATTGAGCAAGATGCAGGGGCTATGGGTGGTTTATATAGCTCAGAGATAGTAGCTGGGGGAGTTTTGTGCCTCAGACCGGAACAACCTTTGTCCTAATATGGTACTGGAATCCCCACTACAATATTTACCTATGCTATGATCATGCAAAACTAATAGCTTCAAAACTCAGGTTGCAGACTTGCACACTTAATAGAGAGGAGCTTCTCAACTGTTTGGCTCACATCCATAGAAATCATCATAACATTGGCTCAGTCAAGACCAATGACAGTACCTACCTCTGGTTCTGTTTGGCAAATAGATCAGCTAGAGCTGAAGATGCTTTAGACATTTACAAATTCAAACATCAGCCAATTATCCCTCTGGTTGCAAACATGAGAATGTTCAACTTTAACCAATACATACAGATCACTGGAGTTAACAAGTTCACCACCAGCAATCTTCAGAAGGAATGGGAGACCACTGGGTCTGTTATTATTCTCCAGCTAATGTGCTGGTGGAACAATAGGTTACAAGACACCACCACTACAGTACTCACTTGAGTCAATGGTGAATACAATATGTACTACCATCATCAGCAAATAATGGGAGGTCACAACAATTACAGATGATTGAGAACAATGTACCACAGTATCAGCCAACAACTCATGCACCAAGACCCTGTGTACTATCTATGGTACATGCTGACAAGACCCAACCACACTTGGAAATTAATCTCCTATCCATATTACACCAAGTATGCTAAGCCAGGGGATAAAACTGGATTTCACCATATCAATGTCAACATTCCAGATGCTATTACTACTGGAAGGGGTATTAACATGATACAAGAATTCTTGACCTTAACAGCAGAAGAGCCCAGCAACTGTACAGAAATCTTGCCAGAAATACATAATCATCTAGAGAATTGGTGGGGACTAGTCAAAGAACAAGGCTTATCCACTGATGGCTATATTCACCACATTAAGAATACAATGTATACCAAAGATGACAAAAGAAAATTTGGTATTAGATGGACCAACATCATTTGCAAACCTGGTGATATTCAAATTACAAGCCCTCTGCTGCCTCATGGAGCTTACAGTCCATGCAAAAAGATCCAGCATACTATACTACCCTGATATGTGGTAATCCAGAAGGATCATGAACATCTTGAAGTCAATGAAGCTGGTACCTGGTCACAGCTCTCCACTGCACATAGAGATCTAGTTCCAGGGCCATCATTATCTTCCAGCCATTCAAACTGTTATGCATCAGTTCCATATCAATTCCCTACTGCTATTCAATTGCAAGGCTTAGAAGCTATATCAGATGCCTTGGTAGGCCAAATTAGATGGAACAACCCTATGGTGATTGAGGAGCTTGATACCCTCTTTGGACCAGAAGAGAAGAAGACTCAGGACTTCATTAATAACTGGCATCTAAAGGCCACACAAATTGCTTTGGATACCATTGTCAAGACATACCAAATTGAAAAGAAAGCTTTTGGTAACAAATTCTATTGGCATTGCATGCACAACAACATTGATCCAGCATCAGTTCAGCCTTCCCCTCCTCCCAAGAACTTGATGGAAGAAGAGAATCATGGTGATCACTATTAGAGATTGCTGCTGTCACTCTCTTTATTCTTATTTCCTATCTCTTTTCTTACCAGATTGTTACTAATTCTTAGCCTCTTATTTTCTTTACTAAATTGTCTTTGTTTTGTTTCATATGTTGCCTGTTGTCAGGGGATGCCAACAGTGAAAGCCAGGAGGAAATGTAGTGGGGATTCCAGTACCATATTAGAACAAAGGTTGTTCCAGTTCAAGGTGCAAAACCCTCCCAGCTACTATCTCTAAGCTATATAAACCACCCATAGCTCCTGCATCTCACTCAATACCTTTGTGCACCTTTGTACTTTTCCACACACTCATTCTTTATTGCTAGTTTGGTTATTAGTTAGAGAATATGAAGATCTCTTGTTCATGAAGCTTGCCACTGTTCCTCATTAGAGCTGCCTGTATTAGTACAGGCTCTTTAGTACTATTATTTCTTATGAGCTTAGGCATCCATTAAGGCATGCTTCTCTGTTCTTACTACTTGGCCATTACCATCCTTACTATGTTGTGATTTTTCATCCTTCTTGCACTCTCACCATCTCAACCAACTCACCTACTTTGACAAGGCATCCCATCATACCCCGCTTCACTATGTATAGAGGCTCCCAACATATTGCAGCTATGTGGCATAGACATTCCACTCATTGGAACATCTCTTGATGATCTTGGAGACTGCAGTCCTTTCAGTAGATCTTGGGGGCTGCTTGCAGTGGGAGAGCTCCTAGCAATATCCTGAATTGAATGTTGGGAGCTAGATGACTGTGGAAGAGCCAATAGCTGTAGAAGACTATAGTTGCCAATAATAAGGCCCTGTCAGCATAGAGCATCTCTTGAAGAAAGTTTGCATATACAGTCAACTTCTTTGTCAGCTGTAGTATAATTGCCTGGCAATATAACTAAGCTTCAGTAATGTCCAGCCCCTGTAGCATCTAGTCTTTGGAGCACTGTGCTGTTAATATTATTGGTGAACTTATCCCAATTCTTGTAGACATTTAGAATATGGTGAAGCTTTTGTGCTGCTCACAGGCTCTTCACTTTTAACCATATGGCATCAATCCTGTCAATACTCCATGTAGCAACAAGTCTATTCTTGATCTTTTGCATATTAATGTGATGTCATTCAACATCCAGAGTAACCTTTCAAGCATCATGGAAATCAGCTTCAAAATTAGCATGTATAACATGTTGTCAAGCTCTGGATCTTTCAACATATCAATAGAAATGGGCCACTAAGTCAGTAACCATATCAGTCACTCACATCAGTGTGTTCATTAGCTCAATCTGTAGGCTGTAGCAATAGTGCAGAGCTTGGTTATCAATGTATTCCATAGCTGCTGTTAGATTATTAAAGAAATGGCCATTCAGGTTGACTTCACTGTCTCTGATAACAACCAGGCCTTGATTTTCAGGTGCAGGAGCTAGAGAAGGCAAGTTGCTTTGTCCAGCCATTTTGAAGAATATCAGTAATTCAAAAAGAATTGCAAATGTCAGAATAACAAAATAGAAGACAAGAAGAAGTGTTGAAAATGTTGAATCTGTAAAAAGAATCAAGCTTGAATGTAAAAGACAGTAGAAGCTTCAGGAAAGAAAAATCAGTCTTTAAATATCTTCTGAAAAATTCAGAAAAAGTGAAGGCTTCTGCAAATAATAAAGAAAGAGAAACTTCTCAAATAAGCAAGCAAAAACTTCACTTTGCAGACAAATAAAAGAAACCTCCCAAAAGAGCAAGCAAAAACTTCACTTTTACAAACAAAACACAACAAATTAAACATCTTGTGGAGATATAATAACAGCAAAGCTCCAGTCATCTGATATAACAGTTGATAATCACATTTGCTTCATTTCTTCTTGATCATTTTCATTTTTGCTCTCACTCTGACCTTGGTCATTCCCCCTATCCAAGAAGCTAACATCTGAGAAACTGCTAAAGAGAATATTAGACTGGCTTCTTGTGGCATATTTTTGAGAAATATTCTTCATCTCTTCATCTGAATCTGCTGAACTATCACTGAGCTGCTTCATTCCAGATCTCATAAGGTACTTCTTTAATCTGCTTCCTGCAATAGATTCTTTGATTTCAGTGTCATCTAACTCTTCAAGGTGATAGAAATCTAGTTCTTGATTGGCAGACTTAACCCTATAGAGTTCTAGCTATCAAAAGCACAGAGTGTTGTTCCTAGACATATTCTGTTCTTCTTTGGTATTGTGAAGCAAGACAAGATCTCCAGATTAAAGAGGGTTGGTCCAAATATTATAGATATCATTAAAGTATTCCTTATTCTTAGTGTATATTTGGAGCTGATGATGTGCTGCTTCCAGAACATTCTCATCTTGTCATTTAATTTGGCATGCACATATCAGAAGAAGATCTTCAGTTATTCAGACATTTCACCATGAAATTGTTTGTCAAGTGGAAATCTCAAGTTCAACTGAAAGAACTGCCTCCTGGCCTATTAGCAATCTATAAGAGAAGATACCAGTACTAGCCTTAGTTATTATTTGATCTGCCATCAGAATTGCAGGAAGATGTTTAATCCAATTCCTTTCAGTATCATTGGTAGCTTTAGCTAATCCATCAGTCAAAGGCTTATGACCAACTTCCACCATATCATTTGCAGGAGAATTATAGAGTAAAATAACAATGCATTTGATGTTGAATTTCTTCAGTAAGATCTCCACAACATTCTTATTCTCTGGTCCTCCATCCATAACAAATTTGACAGGCAGGCCCCATCAACAGATGATATTCTCATAAAGAAATTTGGCCACAGCTTCAGCTGTTGCCTTCTTCAATGCTCTAGCTTTCATCCATTCAGTAAAGTTACATCTTGCAACAACCAAATAATTTCATCCTCAACAGAAAGGCATGTGTTTGATATCCACTTCAACTTTCTCCCAACAGGTAGAAGTCCAGGTAGAATGAAGCTCTTCACTTAATCTTTGTGAATCTCTTTATTGATATTGAGAACAGTGCTTCACATAAGCAGACACATCTTTATACATCTCTGACCACCAGTATCAAGCTTGTAAGGTAGAGTATGTTCCCTCTCACTCTTTATGGTCAAATTTGTCATGCATCATGTGTAAAATTTGTTCACATTGTTCTTTGTTGTCCATGACACATCTTAGAGGCACACCAGATCCTGCTTATCTAAATAGTTGATCAGCCTCCATCACATATTTAATTGCTTTCTTTTGGAATCTCACATACTCTTTTCCTTCCATGCCCAATAGTTTTGATAGGGTGGTTAGATATCATGCAATTTTCTCCAATTCTTCTGAATATGTGGAGTCCAGTATCCTAAGGTCTTCACTATTGAGAGCTCAGCCAGCTAAAACTCTTATAGAATCCATAAAGGCAAACAGATCTTCATCTTCTTCAGATTTAGATTGTTCCCCAGTATCTAGTTCTTAGCAAGACAGTCTGTCAGCAGCTGTGTGTTTCATTCCAGGAACATGTTTAACAGTAAAGTCAAAGAGGCATATTCAAGCTATCCAATTAGTAATCAAAGCTTCTGGAACATCTGTAGCAGTTCTATTAAGTTGGGTGACAAGAGTTTTTGCATCAATTTCCAAGATAAAGGGTACTCCATAAATATGGTGTCAGAATTTCTTGAAGACTTTCAAAACAGCTCTGCATTCTCATTTGCTAGTATCATATATTTTCTCTGAATCATTCCATATCTCAGATTCATATCATGCAGGATGTCAAGCTTCTTGTTGCTTCTGAATAATGCATTCTCTCCATTCTAATCCACTGGCATCAACAGCCACAGTAATAAGCAAAGGATCTTGTCCATAATTAATTGGAAGAACAATAGAAAATGAACATAACTTTTTCTTCAAAAGCATAAAGGCATCATTTTGCTCTTCAGTTCATGACCATATAATATTTTGTCAAAGCAGATAATGTAAAGGTTTGGTTATTCAACTATAATGCTCTATAAGTATTCAGAAATATCCAGCAAGCTCTAGAAATTCTCATAATTCTGTAACACTTGTAGAAGTAGGCCAATTTGCAATTTTAGCCACCTTAGTTTTCTCAGATCATCATTCATCATAGTTGCAGATCCATCCAACAACATTGACTCCAGACATGCAGAATTGAGATTTGGCACCAGAGATTCTAGCTCCAGAGATTTCAACAAGCTATAGAACATAGTTCAGGTTCTGCAGATGATTATAAATAAATCTTCTTATTTCTGGGAGAACTTCAGTTTTATCTTTAACATGTGATCTCTTTACTCCAAGATCATTCATAAAGGCTTGAGCAATCTCTGGAAAAACTTCTCATATAATCTTCATTATCCCATGTTGGGCTTGAGCTGGCAAATTTGTTGCCCCTTGAACTAAAGTTGTATGGCAAAAGAGCCCAATAGAAGTTGCAATGGCTGTCATATCTCTGCTCTCTTCAGCTAATGAAAAATTATCATATCCAGAGAACAAGTTGCATAGACTAGCCATAACAAGTCTGCCAAAGTCTTCAGCATATTCATCAACATTAGAAGGAATAAAAGCATCTCAAATAGTAACTTTATTGTATATATGTACTGTGTTGACTAAACAATATTTGCCTTTCTGTTTCTTTGCAACCAGAAAATAGGGGTTGATATATGAACCATGGCAAGACTCCAATGTTTTAGCTTCTAACCTGTCCTGAATGATTTTAATTAGCTTATCATGTAGAGCACAAGGAATTCAGTAAGTCTTAGTCTGCCAAGCTTCATGAGGCTCTGTCTTAATAATCTGCAGAGGCAAGCATTCAGAATGAATACCATATAGATCTTTAAATGACCACACCAACACCCCTTCACATTTATAAAGAACTGATATGAAAAATTCCTTCTCCTGACTTGTTAGTTCAAATCCAATTTTGAGCTTCTCAATTCTCTTATTTGTTAGCTGTTCTCCAACAGGAAAAGACACAATTCTAGATCTAATATGGTCATCAAATTTACAATTAAATACAACACATTTCTTCTCAGGATAATACTTATCCAAACAAACATTCACTCAATTATCTAGACCTTCCAGTTTGCTTCCATCAGATTTTCCAGGTGCTAACAGCCTTATCTTATCAGCTTTCCACTTATAAGCAGTGCACACTCTCCAGACTTCTGAAGAAGGCAGCCCAATGTTCCAGCCACTATTGAAAATATCAACTTGATGCAATTTCTTCATGACAAAATCATGATTTTTGTTCAGAGATGCATAAATTGATCAAGCACTTTGTGAAATAGGTTTTCAAATTAAGCTGGAATTAATATTGCATGTGTAATGTTTGCAGTGAGCCATAACACTATTCAGATCAGGAAGCAGAGGACAGAAAATCCAAACTCCCAATACAAAATTATTCTTGTTCTCTGATTGGTTCATTTGATTCACCAGCACACTGGTCAATTTAATTAGACTTAGCATGCTTTTGGATTCACCATTGCCAGAACTATGTTTCTTCTTATTACTGTAGTCATCAACACCAGTACTGCTGCCAACACTTCCAACTTCTCTATTCTTTTCAACCTCCTAATCTTCAACCTTCTCATCATTAATTCTTATACCCATCATCTTCATTGCATTTTCTTTATCCTCATCAGGCCTTGTATCCACAGGCACCTGCCTGATTAAATACCTATTGAATTGTTTAAATGATTGCTGTTTGATTTATCAGTTGTATATCTTATATTGCTCAAGCTTGGCTTAAAGCCTTCAAAAACTAGATGATGTGTTCATTTCTTATTATAAATTTCAGAGTTCACTCCTCCATCATCTGAGATGTTGCATTCCCAACAGGCAGCAAATTGCCAAGATCTTTCAAGAATAAGTTACTGATCTCCTCCCTCAAATATAAGAAAAGGGATATGGATAATAATGTCTCTGATCTGAACAGGCACTTTGTCACAAAACACATAAAAAGAAGCAACTTCTCCTGTTTAAACAACCATGGTCACTTGTAGCTTATTTTTCATTGACAGATTCAACATTTCAGCATACTTTCAAGACAACAAATTGATTTCTGAACCAGTATTGATCAACACCATTAATTCT